TATATGATGCGTTGCTTGTTTTGCAGCAATATATAAAATACTCATATCTTACGAGGGACCATTTTCAACTAATAAATCGCTTTTGAGTTCGGACTCTGTGCATAAGGTAGACCGCAGCGAGGTATAAAAAATTCCAATAGGATAAGTGCCATTAGGCTTTCTGTTCAGAGTTAAAGGCATTTTACTGGAATTTTAGCCGATGATATGATATATACCAACAAATCGAATGACAGTATTTCGACCTGTGAGTTTGCCCACCAACAGATCTATTTGTCACTAGAATATCTTGAAAATTTCAGTTCAAAAGCATTTTTCCTTTCCGAGATATTAAAGTTCTAAAAAGCAGAAAATTCTAGCGTCGTTGTGAGATATGAGTGATTTTTGGGACTTTAATATCTCAGGAAGAAAATATTCTTTTGAGCTGAGATTTTCAGGGTATTCTACTCACAAATAGATCTGTCCCTGGGAAAAATCACAGGTCAAAATACCGTCATTCGATTTGTTGCTATATATTGTATCATAGGCTGAAATTCCAGTAAAATCCCTTTAACTCTGAACAGAAAGCCTAATGGCACTTATCCTATTGGGATTTTTTACATCTCACTGGGGTCTACCTTATGCACAGAGTCCGAACTCAAAAGCGATTTATCAGTTGAAAATGTTCCCTCGTTAGATGTATGCCTAATGCGTGCTGCCCTTCTCGCCATGGACAATCGTGAATGTTCAAGAGCATTCGCGTCTGCTACAAAAGCGTGCCCACTGACAACGACGCGAGGGTGGGTGCGGGTGGGATGGGTTTGCGAATATAGGTGTGGGCGGGATGGGTGTGCGGATATAGATGTGGGTGTCGGTGGGAATGCATTTCTACCGACACCTACGCTCACACCCACCCACATACCTAGATCCACATCCACACACCCACACCCTCAATCTTTCATATTTCAATTTGAGGAATTTTGCACGTAAATTAAAGTTAGTAGAGTCATGCCATTACGAAATTCAATCGGATGACGTCTCACAGAGTTAATAGGCATACCGATCTTTTATTTTACACATTGAAATACAAGTGATATTCATATGAAGTTGATACACTTGTCCTTGGACTGAAAGACAATGAATTTTTATTTTAATTAACATAGTCATAGAATACCAAAAGCAGATATATCCTACGTACTGATGTATGATGTAAATTGGGGCACATCAATTATAAGTATGACGAGTCGAAACCATGCATTTTACTAATTTTTGTAAAATATGATAAAATAGCAGCCATTGCCTGGATAATTTAACATATGCGCCACGATGCCATTATCTAAAACACAAACAGGATCTAGCGTACCTCATATTTCAGGTCGGATCGCTTTTACAAAAGCAACATGTCGGCATGTGGGTGGAAAGACGAGAAGTCCCACACTCACACTCTCTACTGAAACGAAGATTTTTTAGAGCGGTTGCAGTTCTGCACATGTTTTATGCCGTAATATTTGATAAATACGTCTTGTTGCGGAAAGTCCAGAAAAAAACGATTGGAGCTTCAAAGCGTTGGAAAACTTGGCGAAATACTTTCCTGAGTAAGAAGCTGCACATTTAATGTTGCAATCGGTTTTTACCGATACAAGTTAGACTTATTCCAGGTCGATGTAGTGCAACTGTTCTATATTTTTTCGATAATTGATCTCTAGCCGATATATACCGGGCTCCGTCAGAAATGTATTCTCCTCGAGAATCCTTTATCTCCAAGTTGCCGCTCCTATGTACTAGTTGAACTCCTACATATTGAACAAGCTCGTCCGCATCGGTGTGGTTTTCAATATTGTGAGAATACAAAAAAAGTGCATTGAACTGGGAACGAAGCGAAGGTACTCGAATACAGGCATATTTTTACATATGCTTTCCTCAGTAGTCACAACACTGGATAGGTTGTGTAATGAGTTCAGTTCGAGAGTGCAGACAACAGGTCATATTCTATCGAGCTTTTAAAAGTCTTTTGAATCCGTTGTGTTGGGTCACTCTTTATATCTTGTCTATCTAGAGATTTCTCGTCAAGTCAGTTACATATTTTAGATTAGATTCATTTTCGACAATGGCTACAAAGGGAAGGGGAGCTTCAAATGAAGAACACCGGAAATTAGCACTTGTAATTGGCATTGGTGAATATGAAAACTTTGACCAGTTATCTAATCCAGAGAATGACGCCAGGGACATGGAATCTGCTCTGGAAAGCATTGGTTTTACTGTTACAATGGTCTTACATCTAAAGCGTGTTGCGATGAAGCATGCTCTTGTGAAATTTGAAGATTCGATTCAACCAGGAGATATGGTCCTGTTTTATTTTGCTGGGCATGGAACACAGTGGGAAGTATGTATCCGTATTTTAGATATTCAGCTTGTTTGAACTGAGATGCGAATTTTATATATGTTCTTTTAGGATCAAAATTATTTACTACCAAAAGATATTCCCGATGCGCAAAGTGTAAATTTGAACCGCAGTGCAATTAATGCACAAGATGTGCTCAATACTTTAGATGATCGAAATCCCTTTGTAACAATCTTTCTCTTGGATTGCTGTAGAAAATATTACTTGCGCAATCCCAAATTAGATGAACGGGGGATCCACATTCAAGCGATTCCAGTCCAGCTGATTTCAAACCAATGCATAAGGCTGGTTCATTGATCGCATTTGCTTGTGCTCCAGGAACCGGAGCCATTGAAAATAGAGGACAACGAAACGGCCTATTTACAAAGCATCTTCTGCAGCACATTAAAACTCCAAATGAAGACATCCAAATGATATTACGTGTTGTTAGAAGAGGAGTTGTGGAGGAATCAAAGTCGAAGCAGATTCCTTTTCTGAGCGATGGATTATTAGAAACGAATATTTGTTTGTATAGTCGGCCAACAGGTAAGTAATGTATCTGAAATTTCATTTATTTAGTTTGTTGAGAATATTACTCAGTTGACATGAAGTCTCGAGTATCGCATGTAGCTGGCATATTTTGAGTCATTTTTGGGTTCCGAGATAAACAGTAAGACATTGCATCTCACGTCAGTACTAGAACCAATAAGAAATGCTTACAGCTCGCTAGGAGCAACATAAAAAAAACGAGAGAAAATCTCTGTTTCAAGTTTACTTCTTCAATGATGGATTTAGTGAAATAAATTTTTGCAGCTATTTCATATATTAACAACGCTTGCTTCAGGATAGTGCTTCGTATATGCGACCTGCATACATATCCCGTATTTCAGCGCCTGTTCCTCAAGAAAATGGAAATATTGTGACGAGTGTTAGAATAAAATATATGGCTTCTATTTGCCAAATAATATTTAGCGCACTGTTTGTGTTGTCTTCTACATGTCTGTACAAATAAAACGCAAAACATAAAAATATATATGGTCATCGAAATGATCGAGCAATCCGATTGAAAAAAATCCGGAATGTTATCGGTGATCTTTCCTGTTGCCGAGTCCACAGTACCAAGTAACCTAAATAGATACCATAACCTAAGAAGTCTTCGTTTCTGACTCAAATCTGTTCAATCTGAGTTTGAAAAGACGAATCATCATCTCTGCCTCTGAATTTATCGTTTTTAGCTGAAACTTCCTATTTTGCTGATAGAGATGGTCATGCAATTCTATACATATGAATCACTAAGATGCAAACATAATAAACTAAAGAATTAGCTAAAGAAGTTCCTAATGAGCTCACAAAATTGTCATTTCATTATTCATTTTCCTTAACGGTTGTTATCGCAACACAGCAAAGTGACACTTTGGAAATTCCTCATTAGGCAGTAACATTTACACATATATATAGAATATTACTTAGTTCAAAGAGCAAGTTAGAAAAATGTTCAGAAATGAAACTAGTCTTGAGGGGCCTTCTGGATCCATCAACTATAGTTTCAGTGTTAAACCAGATATGAAGAAGCAGTCGAATAAGTTCCTTGAAAAATTCTTTGTCAAGTTCTGAGCGTATGGAATCATCACTCTTGTATTCTCTTTGAAGAATTGTCACATATGTTCAATATACGATACAATCAAATGAGTTTGGATAAACGATCGTAGTGTGCTACGAGTCGCTTACTGTGCCCAGTTATTTTGATCGAGCTTCAAAGCTGTACCTATTCTTTAGAGCAATACAGCTTCAATAAAGTTTTATTTGAAGAGTTGAAAAGTCACTCACTGTAAAAAGCGCACATGGCAGTTTACAATTTTCCATATTCCTAAAAAATGTTCAAATCGTTTATGATATTGTTCTACGAGAAACGTAGTTTTCGGTTATCAACTAAGCTATCAATATCATCAACTATTACAATAGTATATACTTTTGAATTGTAGACAAATCCCGTGACTTTATACAAATATCTGACAAAGACCTCAAGCTTCACGAGGAGATTGGTCGCGGAGCCTTTGGATCTGTTTATAGAGCTACATGGTTGAGTACACGCTATACGGTTGCTGTCAAAAAGCTACACCTTACCAGTTTGACCGATACAGCCAAACGCGAATTTTTGAGAGAGCTTTCATTAATGCACAGTGTTCGTTGCCCACACGTTGTTAATTTCTATGGTGCATGCACAGAAACAGGAAAGTACGCATTGGTAATGGAATACATGTCGCTTGGATCATTGTATAAAATACTGCACGAGGATCATCTTCCATTAAAATGGACTGAAAGATTGTCGATTGCTTTGCAAGCAGCCAATGGCATCAATTACTTGCATCAACTACCAGAGCCCATTCTACATCGAGATATAAAATCGTTGAACTTTTTGTTAGAAAGAGCTTACAATGGGTATACTGTCAAAGTATGTGATTTTGGTGTAGCGCGAACAAGAAATGAAACGACACGTCAAACAAAATCTAATAATACACTGGCCATTACACTACAATGGACTGCTCCTGAGATTCTGCGCTTAGGACGCTACACGGATAAGAGTGATATTTACAGTTTGGGAATCGTTTACTGGGAATTAGCCACATATCAGATACCTTATGATGGTCACGAAGATGGCGTTATTCGTGCATTTGTGCTTGCTGGCGATCGTTTGGATATACCTGACACTACGCCTTCGATTTTTCGTATGGTGATCGAACAATGTTGGACGCAAAATCCAAACGATCGGCCCGATGGCTGTCATTTGATCCAAATGATTGAAGAATGTATCCAAGTTGAAGGTAATTCATTTCTATTCTTGCTCTTTTTAAACAACGTATGATAGATAGGAGATGAGAACCCAGCAAGTGGAGGTTTGCCGATTAATTTGTTGACATTTGATTGTGGGGGTGGATGAGGGAGCATATAGATCATTATACATGGCTAGTATCGTTGATCACATGCGATTACAGCATTCGAAAAGTTTTGCGTTCATTTTTAGCAGCTGTCTTGTATATATTTCTATGGTGAAGCGGATACTGGTTGTAATCGATTTCGGCTGCTTAGCTGATGACATGAATAAAATTAATTCGTTTAGATAAAAAGTCACCATAGTGGAAAAGCATTCTCAATCACATTCTATTGAAGAGTATCTCATATCTTCCGTAAGAAGTAAAGTCATATGAAACACAAGGAAAGAAGTTAGACAAAGCCTTATTTATCATGTCATTAGATCATATATATTCAGTTAAGTTCAAATTTAAGGAACCGCTTCTGTAGCTATTGGCCATTGTTTATTATTCGATGTGGTTTGACGAACGCTAATCCACATAATCTAAAACAACAAAAATGACCATCTGATTTTGTTGTGATCTGGAGTACTGAAT